CCTTTGATCAGGAGATTTTGAGGAGCGTAGAACCACCTCTTAATTACTGGTGTTCCCAGGTCCACCATGACCCGGGGTGGTAGCACCTGTTAGGGTCCCAGCCATGGGCAAATAGTTAACCCTCAAACTGGGGTCAAAACACTATGAAAATGTAAAAATAAGTTTTAATACCAGCAATTATATTACCAGCAATACAGTTTTGGAAAAAATGTTACCAGCAATACATTTTTGGGAAAAAAAATATTGCCAGCAATAGATTTTTGGAAAAAAATATTACCAGCAATACATTTTTTGAAAAATATTACCAGCAATAAAATTCTTGTCGGCATTAAATAACCCATGCAGGTTGATATGCCGTAAAACAAAACAAGACAAAACAAACCACCCTGACCCGTGGTGGTAGCACCTGTCAGGGACCTAGCTATGGGCAAATAATTAACCCCACCAAAAGGGTTCAAAATAATATGAAAATATAAAAATAGGTATTAAAACCAGCAATACATTTTTGGAAATTATTTTACCAGCAATACTTCTTTGAAAAAAATTTACCAGCAATACATTTTTGAAAAAAAAAATATTACCAATAATAAAATCTTGTATTCATTAAATAACCCATTGAGGTTGATATGCCGTAAAACAAAATAAACCAAACCAATCTAAACCAAAGAATACATATTCTATTCAGACGAATCTATCCTAAAAATGTTGTTGGCATTAAATAACCCATTGAGGTGTTGATGTGCCGTTAAACAAAATAAACCAAACCAATCTAAACCAAAGAATACATATTCTATTCATACGAATCTATCCTAAAAATGTTGTTGGCATTAAATAACCCATTGAGGTTGATATGCCGTAAAACAAAATAAACCAAACCAATCTAAACAATCTTGTCGGCATTAAATAACCCATTGAGGTTGATATGCCGTAAACCAAACCAAAACAAACTACCATTCGTTCGTACATTGGATTTCACTGCAACATCTGGTCTGGTACTCCTATTTTATACCTCGAGATTTTTGACAAAATTCAAAGAAGTAATGTAATCGATCCTGACCTTCGCTTTAGTCACTCTCCCACCGATATAACATGACTTTCATCTGTCTTTTCTACAAATGGTAACTAGTCTGATGACCTTTTCTCCCTGGTGACTTGAATTTAAGCGTGTTACTAGATTGGCAGTTAGGTCTCACCACTTTACTGTTGAACTTGCTGGATGCAGCCGTCATTTCTAATATTCTAATAGTTTCTTTCCTCGCACTTCTCGCCTTCTATATATCTCGAGATTCTCGATAAACTTAAAAAAAAAAAAAAAGGTCTGCAATAAAATCAGTTTTGACCTGGCATCTCGGCTTCAGTCACCTTCACACGGTCGGGATGTAGCTTCCCTCTGTCTTTTATGTAAATATTTTCATGGCAATTGTTCTGATGGTCTTTCCCTTCCTTGGTAACCTCGACCGCATGAATTTAAGCGCACTACTAAATTAGCAATTAGGTCTCGTTGTTTTACTGTCGAAATAGCTGTTACGAAATAGACTAAGTCCGACAATTATTTTAATATATTTGCGTTATTTTTACAGATACAAATATTTAAGTAAATTCTCTGTTTATAATAAACAGTATTAACCACATTTACCGGCCTGAATGTTCGAGAAATTTCAAAGAAAATAGGTGTCCTCCAACAGGAATTTTTTCGTTAATATTCAATAAATGATGCCCATAAGTGTGAAATAACCTTAACATATTAACGTCCATAGACATTTTTTAAAATCATGGTCATTAATAAGTTATAAATAATAATAATAATATTGTGAAGAAGAAGAACTTCACAACACAGAGTACAGTCAAAGCTAATCGCTCTGACATCGGGATTAGAGACGGCAAAGACAAAATGTGCCTTTTTATTGAAATGGCAGTTCCTATAGACTGTAATGTATCTTTGAAGATCTTCAAAAAGATTATCAAAATACAAGAAATCGAAGTCTCAGAAGTGTGGCGCATGAGGACATCAGCAATTCCAGTTATAGTTGGAGCACTCGGATTGATTGGAAAAGATTCCAGTAGACACACTGAAGGGATTCCTGGTAGCCTATGCCTTAAAGAAATACAAAGAATTGTTCTCACAAGTACCGCCCACACCTTATGAAGGGCTTTATCTATGTAAAATATGTGTCATTTTTTTTTCAAAACTGCTCAGTGGAAAATGTCATGATGACATTTCTGACCTTAGGTCTGTTGTCGGAACCGGGAGAAAATGAGTATACACCAGAAACCAAAGGAGATTTAATAATAATAATAATAATAATAATAATAACAACAACAACAGCAACAGCAACAACAACAACAACAACATCGTGATTAGAGACCGAAAAGACAAAAGGTACCTTTTTATTGACATAGCAGTCCCTGCAGATTGTAATATATCTTTGAAGATCTTCAAAAAACTATCAAAATACAAGGACCTTGAAATCGAAATTTCAAAAATGTGTCGCCTGAGAACATCATGAATTCCAGTTGTAGTTGGAGCACTCGGATTAATTGGAAAAGATTCCAATAGACTCATTGAAAGGATTCCTGGTAGCCTGTACCTTAAAGAAATACAAAAAAATGGTTCTCATGTGTACAGCTCACACATTGAGAAGAGCATTATCTATGTAAAATGTGTGTGAACTTAGGGGATTTTTGTTTGTTTTTATGTTTGTTTTTTTTTACAAAAAACTGATCAGTGGAAGACAAAGTCATTTCTGATCTTATTATTCCTAGTATTAATTTTGATTTCTGAGCTAATATCATTATTCGATTCATTTTACGACCCAACAGTATCACCCACCTTTGTCTGAAATTCTAAAATTATTTATACTAGAATTTTCTTCCCATATGTTAAGTTCAATGTTTTTCCCGTTCTCTATTAATAAAGATTTCCATCCTTCGATAAGCTTAAGTTACTTTACTTAATTCAGTGCCTCTCGCCATGTTGGTCTTTCTTAACAATTGGCGGGAAACATATGCGTGGTAATTTAATATTATATCTTTTAATTAAATGATATTTTTCAATTTGTTCTGGCCATTTATTCAAATATCATATTTACTATTAAATTAAAACACGCGACCTTATAAGTAAGTTTTATTTTATTTTCTCTTTTTTTCAAACACCGACTTATTACTAGCCGATCAACAATACAGCGTGAAATATAGTCGGAAGAAATATTATCGATGACCCTGTCTAATCAGGAGTGTTATTTACATTATTTCCATACGGACTATTATCCTTGTGTTTATTTTTGTTATCACAATGTTTCGGTCGTTCTGCACTCCAGCCTCCATCAGGTGTATGACGATCCGGGCAATATACATGGAAAAACGAACTGGGGTCTTTATTTAATCTACATGAGGAGATTGTTTTCATTCCACTGGTCAAGTGTAGGGATATCTCTAGTTTTTATTTTAGTAGCAGCTCCGTTATTGCTGGTCCTGTTTCCACTGTGTTCAAGTAGACACTGCTCGGCCCAGGTATTGAACTCGCAATTATTACGTCGCCCAATTCTCGAACCAGCAATTTCATCCACTTGGATATTGTTCCGAGGGAAAATAAAACATGGGAACAATAGTCCACACAGGGCCGACATGTACTTGCACGGAGACTCCAAGCAATGCTTTGTGAGCCTCATTCTCATATCAATATTTGCTTTTTATTTTCTATCTACTTTTATAGGTATTTTAAATTATACTTTACATTATTCGGATTATTGTTCTCATCTTTGTCGCCATATTTATTACAACGTTTCGGCCGTTGTACGCCCCGGCCTTCTTCAGGTGGTTGAAAAGTCGAATTGAACCCTTTATTTCGCTCACTGGGTTAGACTGTTCTAGTTCCACGTGACATGTCTAATGGATGTCAGTTATCAGTTATCTCCTGTTAATTCCCCTCTGCAAGTTCTCCACTGCCTTAACCGGGTATTGAACTCACACTCTTTGGGTCTTGTCACTGGATCTAACCAACGCCTTTATCCACTGTGCCTTGAGGACATCTGTGTATGAATCTCTGGGTATTATAAACCTAATATCTTCAGCAACCATTTTTTACCAGTTCTCATATTGCAATTTTTTGCTGTTATCGTTGCATGTTTTTACCAGAGCTCATATTGCAATTTTTGTTGTTATCACTTTTATCTGACACTCCTTATTACTAGTTCCCATATTGGATTCATTCCACTAACTGACTATTAAAGGATTAAATTTTTTGCGGATTTTGACGTCATTCTGGATTTTATTTTCCGTGAATTCGTTTTGCTTATGCTCAGTCTCATAAAAAATTATATAAAATTCGCAATTTTTATCCATGTTGAATGTTTTAAATTAGTCAACTTTTTAACAAGAAAAATTTCAAGTTGATATTAAAAATTGTCACAAAACATTGTTGATTTAAGATGGAATGATCTATTATAACGTCTTTAATTTGTATTTAGATACATTGTATTTAATTTCAATTTTCTAGTTGAATTGTTCATCTATATTGCATATGATCCATTATTGTACATAATTAGGTTACAATAAAATTTGTATTTTATATGGATGAAAATTGGGATATACAGGATGGACGGAAAGTCTTGTCACCCCCTAGCAAAAAGGAATGTGGACAATAGAAGAACAAGTAATACAATAAATACAAAACACATGGACTGGATTCAATTTATTCACTTTCATTGACACTGTCACATATCGAGAAGGTCTGTAGGAACATCCATCATTTTCATGGCACCATGTCCTGTGTTATATTTTACGAAGCTGTGCTTCTATTGATTGTGGCAAAGGCTTCAACTGATTCTGGTATCGTTCATGTAAAGGTCTCTCCTTGATAATACCCCCCCCCACAGAGAGTTGAAATAGAAAATTATATTATATAGCGGTGACAAGACTTTCGGACCACGCTTTATATAATGAACCACCCGAGATAAATAAATACATACATATATGCATACATACATATAGACACAATGAACAGAATGAGATAGATAGATAGATAGATAGATAGATAGATAGATAGATAGATAGATAGATAGATAGATAGATAGATGCCCTAAAGTTATAAAATCCCCCTATGAAAATTTTTTATTTTATATGAATGAATATATAGTGTGGTCTGAAAGTCTTGTCACACCACTTACCAAAAAAGGAATGAGGACAATAGAAGAACAAGTAATACAATAAATACAAAACACATGGACTGGATTCAGTTTATTCACTTTCATTGACACTGTCACATATCGAGAAGGTCTGTAGGAACATCCATCATTTTCATGGTACAAAATGATACGGCGCCATGTCCTGTGTGATATTTTACGAAGTTGTGCTTCTATTGATTGTGGCAAAGATTCTGCGAACGGCGTCCTTCAATTTATGGGTATTCTGGTATCGTTCATGTGAAACTCTCCCCTGGATAATACCCCACACAGCGTTGATATATTATATAGGGGTGACAAGACCTGTATATAATGAACAACCTTAGATAGATAGATAGATAGATAGATAGATAGATAGATAGATAGATAGATAGATAGATAGATAGATAGATGGTGGCCCAAAAGTGATAAAATCCCCCTATCAAAATGTTATGAGAACAACAGAACAAGTAATACAAAACACATATACTGGATTCAGTTCATTCACTTTCATTGACGCTGTCATATATCGAGAAGTTGATGTTAAAAATTGCCACAAAATATTATTGATTTATTTAAGAAGGAATGGTCTGTTATAACATGTCTCTAATTTGTATTTAGATACATTGTATTTATCTTCAGTTTTTCTAGTTGAATTGTTCATCTATATTGCATTTGATCCATTATTGAATATAATAAGCAAACAATACAGAATATAAAATTGAATTTAATTATGGAACAGAAACAAACATAATATTACCTTTCCTTAATATCAACAAATTCTTTCAGACTTTAATAACAGACAAATGGAACAACTGGATTTTGCTTCAATCCTGACTGGACTAAAGCAAAGATGGACGTTTGTTCAAGTGAACAAGTGGATGACGAATTCGTATAAAAATAAAATAAAAAAAAACAATTAATATAGTAAGTACCTCCATGAATTGGGTATACGTAACGTTTAAAATGATTTTTTAAAAATAAAAAACGACTGACCTTCGACTTTAAGAGGTTAAGAGTGTAGTGCTCGGAAAGCATGTCCGCCGGAGTCAGTTCTACATAGCAACAGTTCCGTGAAATAAGCTGAATGAAACTTACTCCTTACCAATGAAAGATTAATGGAATGAGGATGAGTGGACGATTCATTTTTTACGCCAAGATGAACCTAAGAGGCCTAGATGTCCTACCGGGATTTATTATTGGCTAACACAATCATAAAAACATATAGTCTAGCGAGAGAGTGGTAGATCCCGGTTTGGTTAAGATTCAGTTCTTAGGTGATGAGACTGGCGTGACTTGTACAGGTCGCACACCTGGGCGAAGATATATGGAGGCCGGGCCCTGTCCAAACAACCCGCCTCTCTCGACGATACTGACAAGATCCAAAAGAATACAGAATATTACATTTGGGGCCAGTATGGCTGTAGGAGTTACGGGAAGTTTATCAGTGTTTAGACTGAGGGCCAACAGCATTCGAAGCTCCACCGTATTTTCTTCCATAGCCCTTTCCATTTTTGAATATGGTCGCAAGGCTGCGGAGGTTGAAAATCGGCGTTTTCTTCTCTCAAGATGGACTGTCTTCTCGGGCTGACGAGCATCGACCCCAGTGGTTCCAAAACGATTTGGGGCCATGCACCACTTTGGTATTCCTAAAATTCTGGTGCCCCCCCCCTTGTAATATTTAATTCTTACATATTCAAAGGTTTACTGCAATTCACGTGAAGGAAGCTTAATGGGCCACTAACTTGGTCTCTAAACAAGCCTCCAAAGATCATGGCGTCCATGAAAGAGAAAGATTAAAAAAAACAAAAAGACAGTTAAATATATAGTGATTTTCAAAGCGTAGCTTAGATGTGGCACAAGGCCGAAAGTATGGAGCACCCAGTGAGGATCGAACTTACTACTCAGTCGCAATTGTTCTAGCGAGACAAGCTTGTTAACCATTACACCCCCTCGAGGCGCCCAAAGACAATAGTTTCAAAACATATAATAGAGAACTGAAAGGTAGAAATATAACATATTTGAATGAAAGCTTTATTCTGTAACATACTTTGATCATTTTAATTATGAAATTATTATGCAAAATGAAATTTGAGTTGACTAGAAAACAATTCACTGTTAATAACTCATTCTCGAATTACCCCCTTATTCTGTTGGTATAGTAAAGGTGTACATCCTACACATGCCCCACCGGTGGAGAATGTGCCTCACGTTGGGAGTCATTGATCTACCCGAAACTCCTAGTTATGACGTAGTATTGGCCCACATTCTCCCGTCCTTCGGCTGGCTTGGCTTAGTTATCAGAATCTATTTGAAACGGATGCTGTGGGAGTATTTTATA